GATTTACATGAGCATGGAGCAAAGAGAGCCCTACTGCACCAAGATTTATGTCCAGAAGGGATGGGGTGGCTCAGGCTGCTGGTCCAGGCAAGTGAGTGCTCCAAATGTCTGGATTTCTGCCTGGGGTGGAGACGATAGGTCCCCACTGCACTAAAATCTCAGGGAAGCAGGGTGGGGCAACCAGCACTGGCACATGCAGATCAGTTCCAGGTTGCCAGGCTGGCCCTGACTTCAAGTCTCACTGCCCAGGAAAAACCGCAGCTGTAGCCTGTGAATCCCAGCACTTACTGCGGAGGTGCTTTCCACAGTTCCTGCTGTGGAGGCCCCTACTCCACTCCCCAGCAGGCACTCCAGTCTTTGGCCTGAGATTAAATTGCCTATGCAGCCATGCTGCTGGGTTACCAAAGAATGACTGACTTTGTATGTGCCCACATTACAAATGGTGTCCTGCTTCGAGTCCTGGATCTGGGAAAATGCCTGCAGGTTTTCCCGGTATCTTTCCTTCATGGTGTCTCCAAGTATTTCCCCAAATTAACTCCAGGGCTCAGGAGAAACAAAGTGCTCTCCCTTGGCCTGGGTTGCTCAGATCCCCAGTGGAAAGGTGAGTCACAGAGAATGGCTCTCTGCCTCTCTCATGTACTAGGGCCTCATTCACTTTTATTAGCTGAACGCCATCATGGGGGCTGTTTGCCAATGTTCTCCTCTCTGGGATCTGGGGTATCCTTCATGATTCCCATGAATTCCCATTTTCTTTCTTGAATAAATCTCACAGAGTTGATCTTTATGTACTGTCTTGCTATTTCCAAGTGGCTGAGGTATGCTGAAAGCCTCTAATCTGCCATCTTTGAAAATGGGTTTAAAATTTTTTTTAATTAAAAAAATTTTTTAAAAATTATTTTATTTTCTTGAAACAGGGTCTTTCCCTGTTACCCACGCTGGAATGCAGTGGCACAATTTTGGCTCACTGCAGCCTCCACCTCCTAGGCTCAAGCAATCCTCCTGCCTCAGCCTCCCAAGCAGCTGGGACTACAGGCATGTGCCACCACACCTGGCTAACTTTTTGTTTTTTGTAGAGATGGAGTCCCCTACATTGCCCAGGCTGGTCTTGAACTCCTGGGCTCAAGTAATCCTCCCATGTTTGCCTCTCAAGGAGTTGAGATTACATTTGTGAGTCACTGTGCCTAGCTGGAACTCTTCATTATTATTATTTTTTTAGCACAGATGAAATTGTGCTTAACTTTGTAGCATGTTTTAGTCACTTTAAATGTTTTGGAGCTCATACCTGAATGCATACAGGGTGGTTGTATGTCTTTGAAAAGCTCATTCTGATTATGAAATTCTTGAATCTATCCCCTTTCCTCTGGTGATTCCTCAGTGAAACCTGAGGTCACTTGTCACCCAGGCACTGGGGAGAAGTAGAAAAGTCTAGACTCCTCTTTCCCTTTGGGTAATAAATTGTATTTCAGTATTTGAAAATTCCCATTAAAAAAGCATGAGGTTTATTTCAGTTCCAAATCACATCTTGGTATAATTTATAGTTTAATATCTAAGCTATTTCACTATTTTCTTCAAAAAAATATAAAAAGGAGGAGGGTGGCACCAAAAGCTAGTAGATGGTAACAAGAAAACTAGCATGCAAAATGTCATTTTCAATGCCTCTATCATTCAGGAGAACTTTAAAAGGAGGAAGGACATCAATGCAATATAAAAGCAGAGAAATGGATTTGTTTCTGATTTAAAAAACAGTTTCCTGGGACAATGCATCATCTCTATGTGGCAGTTTTCTGCCTGAGGTGACACATTGAATCCTAAAAGGTTTATACCAAAAAAAAAAAAAAAAAATCTAATAACTCCAAGTCACATGTTAGCAGTGGGATTGTAACATACCAGTGAAACATAATCATTGCAGGGAGTGAAAAGAACTTAAGCTTTAAATCTGACAGACCTGAGTTTGAATTTACTAGTTGTGGTATCATAAGAAAGTATTTTAAACCCTTAAGGTTTCAGTTTTCTCATCTGTGAAAGGGAATTAAAATTTGTCATGTAGAGTTGTTGCAGGAGTTGAATTAGGTAATATATGGAAATTAGCTGTGTGTCTGGCACATAGCAAGCGCTCAGTTAAAGATAATTTAAGAATTGTATCTAATGAAGTTCTGGGAATTTGGGCAATTCTTTGACTTCATCATATGACTTCTGTCATATCATCAACTTCCAAGGCACAGGTGATTAAAGAAAAATATAAATTGGAGTTCCACTGCTAAAGCTTCTGCATTTTATTCTTAGATGATAGTCTAGATATAATGTTGTGTGTGACTGCTCCCCATTTCTTGGTTTGTCTACAACCATCAACCCATGAAGAGTGTGGGCACAGGATAAACGTATGTCATAAGTGAAGAGTAAGAGAGAGCAGGGAAGATTGGGGTGCAAATAGCTCTTGGACTGTAACTTGTAAAATGCTGCACCTGTGAAGCTGCTTGATATAGAGGAAGGGGCATGGGCTTGGTGTTTGACGAGTGTGATTTCAAATCCTGACCCTGACACATATAACGAGTTGTGCAAACTGAACAAATTTCATTACTCTGAGCTGCAATAAAACATTAAGTATAAACATTAAATATAGGGTTGTCGTGAAGATTAAATGAATTACTCTGTATAAGTTCCTGGTGTATTGCATGTTCACAGTAAACAGCATAGACATTAGCAACTCTTGAAAACAGCTTGGAATACTGTTGGGTCTGTACATTTAGGCCACGATTAACTGGCCTAAGGCAGAGAACAATGAAAAAGAATACAGAGGAGGGAGAATCAAAGCAGATGGATAAGGAGAGGGAAAGAAATGGAGGAAAAAAATGAGAACTATAAAGGAAAAAGATAAAGAAGAAATTATTAAGGAAAGCTTTCTATAGGAGGGGAATAGAGAAAGAGAACTTTGAGCTATCGATGTCAAAATGTAAGCACTATGATTTATATGTACAAAAAAATTAGCTGAGCTCATTGTTTCAACTGTTGTAGGAAAAAAGTCACCTTAAATTTGCTTAAATCGAGTAACTGGGGTTTTCGGTATAATATAGTCCTTTGTGAGTAAATACGTAGTTAACTGAAAGCACAAGCTTCCCAGAGGGCCTCTTTCTAGCTTCTCAAGGTGTTTCCCCTTTTTCCTTCTCAAGATGGTGAGGCTGATGTCTCATGGGCTGCAAGAACCGGGTCCCCTGGCTCCTGAGACCCTCGCCTTCTAGTGTCGAGAATCCTCCTGGCCCTGTTGGATCATAGGACATCTGATACTGATGCTGCTGAAAGGTGGCTCCTGCCTGCTGGTGGAAGTAGATGGTCCCTGCCCAAGCCTCTGGGGGATTAGCACCACAGTCTGCAGTCTTCCTGCCTTGCTTCCACGCCGATTCCAGCTCTTTGAGTTACCACTTCCGCCGGACCCCACTGGGCTTCTGAATCCCTTCACACCAAGCGCAGCCATGGGTAACCGTAAGTGGAACTGTATACCCAGGCCCTTCTATCCTTGCCGCCGCCTACTGTACTGCTCCGGAGCTTGTTAATGGTGGTGCCAGAGTGAGTGTGGAACTTCTCCCGGAGGCTTCGTCTGGCAAACCGGATATTCTTTAATCCTTTCCAGCCCATCTTCTGCTGAGGTTCGGACTCCTTTCTCAGGGACTTCAGTAACGTAGTTATCTTAGTCTCATCTCTTGTGACTGGTCCTCAAGATTTTTGGTTTGAAGGTCTCTTTATACTCTTAAAAATTATTGAAACTGCAAAGAATTTCCGCTTAAATGGGTTATTTCTATTAATATTAACCACATTAGAAATTAAAACAAAAGTTATTGATTTATTTAAAAATAAAAAATCTCACTACTTATTAACATAAATTGCACTTTTAATGAACAACCGTATTTCTGAAATGAAACAATTAGTAGGAAAAGTAGCATCATTTTACATTTTTTGGAAACCTCTTTTATGTTTGGCTTCATAGAAGACAGTGTCTATTTCAGCATATATCTAATGGAAGATACATGCTTCAGCATTTAAACTGTTAATGATAATCATATGTTATGCAGCCTCTGGAAAACTCCACTGTACCTTCCTGAAATAGTGAAAGTGTAAAAAGCAAACAACGTCTTAGTAGAATCATGAAAATAGTTTTGGCCTTATGCAGCCCCTGAAAGGATCTTGAAACCCACAGGAGAATCCAGACCACTTTGAGAGCTGCTGCCCTAACACTTTCTCCCTGCCCTACCAAAAGGGTTTTCCATATTCCTTTCCTGTCTGACAAAAACTGCTCTTTAGTCATATCCCCCTTCTTCCCTGCTGGCATGCTCCGTTGCCTTCCCTGGGCTGTAGGGAAGGAAGTTGGTGAGGAAGATTAATTGAAAGGAGAGGATGGCTGAAAGTGAAATGTTTTTAGGGCAGGGAATAGCAGAATGTTCCCCATTAATTAATGGGTGGGACATCTGAATGTTCCACTATGCCTAGCCTGCCCAGCGAATACTATGTTCTTTCAGCCACACTTATCATGTCTCTTTAATTCATGAGACCAGCTCACTTTCTTGTTGGTCAATTCACTAGTTTGTTGTCATCTTGCTTTGGGGAACCAAGGCAGAAAAAGGTCTGTGTTTCCTTTTGCATAATGATAAACATGTGTCACATACTGTGTCTAATAACCAAGATCTATAAACTCAGTCCGGGGTGATAAAGCTATATGATTTTTTTTTTCAGTGTCTTTCATGCCAGTCCTCTTTCCCCACAACATCATTAATCAATCAAATTGCTCTTGTAGTTTGTTATGTTGCCATGGCAACATCTTCCTGCACAGTTAAAAATAAAACTTCTGTGCTCCTGCTGAAATTTGGAGAGAGCAAGAATCTAATTGCCTGGCAGGCCTCACCATGGGAAAACTGATACCTTGGCAAAGACTCTCCAGCCTTTGTACTGGAGAGTGGAGATGAAAAGCAGCCACTGAGTTCTGTCTCTGTCTCTTGGGATAGTACCCATGAAAAAGTGAGGCTACCTTTTGCGGAGCTGCGTTGGTATTTTTCATCACAGACCAACTAGAGGCTTCCCAGTTCTTAGGCTCGGCATCTTGACAGACATCTCTGCAGTTTGGCAAATCTATGGGGAAGAAAGCAAAAAAAAAAAATCAATGCAGAAGGCTGTTTGGGAGTTTTAACTGCTCTCATGGACACTTTAGATTGCTTAACAAGAAAAAGACGTCTGCAGAGATTTGAGTTGTCTCACAGACAGACCCTGAGACAAAGATTCAAGGCAAGTAGTTTATTTAAGAGGTGCAGGGAACATTAGGGGTGGGAGTGGAAAAGTAATATTGAGAAGAGAAGAGTGTATTACACCAGTAAGGGTGTATTATTAACTCAGCAACTACTGTGGGTGACTAGGGCTTAATTCTGCAGGAAATCTCCGAGAAGTCGGGTAAAACACTTGTGTTTGAATTCTATATGAAGAGTGAGGGAGCTGGGGTATTTATACACTGACTCCCAAAAGTCTTTGGTTGAAGGCTATTCCCAAGGGTATTTCTTCCTAGCAATTTTGTTCTGCCACTTGGCAGGGAGCAGCACTTTGATTCTATAAAAAACCTGCAGGAACAGAGATGCAGATACCTGCAGTGAGAAGGCCATGGATAAAGAATAAGGGTGGGACATTGATAGTGTCAACTACAGGTGCTCAGATTGGGGATTTTATTTTGGGAAGGTAAAGAAATTGTGTTGACACAAGTTTTTAAGAATCTACCAGCAATAATAGTGAGTGTGAAAATAATAAAAGAACAGAAGGTGTTTAAAAATAGTTTTATTGTTATTTTAGTTAATTTGTATTTGTATTTATTTATTTTAAGACATGGCCTCACTCTGTTGCCCAGGCTGGAGTGCAGTGGCATGATCATGGCTCACTGCACCCTCAACCTCCCGGGCTCAAGTGATCCTCCCACCTCAGTCTCCCTAGTAGTTGGGGCTACAAGTGTGTGTCACCATGCCCAGCTAATTTTTATGTTTTTTTTGTAGAGATGGAGTCTTGCCATGTTGTCCAGGCTGGTCTCAAATTCCTGGGCTCAGGTGATTCTCCTGTCTTGGCCTCCCGAGTGCTGGGATTACAGGTGTGAGCCACCACGCCCACCCAATTTGTATTTTTAAAATAGGTATTTTCCTCCAGGATACTAGATCTTTGAATGGATGTTTACATCTTCACTATCATAAAGTGGCTTCTTCATCCTCCACTGAGTCCTTGGAACTCTAGTTCTTCAAATCCATGCACTTCATTCCCAAATAGCTTCATGTTACCATATTAATGCAAACTACCTTCTGTATATTTTGCTTTTTGATTTTGCTTCTTTAAAACTTTTCTAAAGATGACTCCTGAGTACAGTGTCTTTGAATAAAGTAACTGGAGTAACTGAAAGAAGATTACCCAGAAGGAGTGCTGGTAATAACTCACAGTTATTGAGTGTCTGCTATATGCTAGGCACTGTACTAACTGATCTCCATAAATCGTTTTGTTTGAAACTCATAATCACTCACTGAGAAAGGTACTGTAACCACCCCCATTTTACAGATGAAGTGAAGATGTAGAAACTTGTTCAAGATTTCACATCTAGCAGATTCAGGAGCCAGGATTTAAATCCAGGCTGTCTGTTCCCAGAAAATGTCTTTAGTCAACTTTATTATCTTTTATTTTTCATTCATTAGTACTTTGAAATCAACATTTTTACTTGGGATTGACATTTTTCAATATTTAGATGGACTATAACACAAAATATGTTGGATAATCTAGGACTAACCCACCTGCAGTTAACCAACCCTGGTCCTGGCCAGGAAGCAATGCTGCTTAAAATCAGATATTCAAGAGACATATACTATCATTCTTTTTCCCCATAAAGACAGAAAACTGGTAATATTTGTCCTTAAATATTTGTCTCAGGTTAAAGCTGTTTTGTACTTCACGATAAAAACTCAGGGGCTTCAATTGATTTCAGTTTTTCCAGGCTCCTAAGAGGATGCTGCTGGAGAACAATTTTGCCTCTGGCTAAACAGGGCCCCAAAAGATTGGTTTAGCTAATCTCTGGTAAAGGCGAAAGGCTCTTTCCATAGATAAAATAATATATTTTAATTTATCCGCTTTGGGTGCAAAAAAAAGTGACTTAGACAAATTACTTTAGGTAATCCACCATTTACTTGCAGGGTACATACACACAGGAAGCCAGGAAACACTGAAGAACCAGACAGGAAAGAGCAGGACCCATAGAGTAGAGATAAGCAGAATGATCTGAATTCTAGAGCTTGGAAATGGACATGGCTCAGCCTCCTCTGGAAACCACCCTTGGATCCTTTCTGCTCAGATTTCTCATCTTTATCTCCATGCACTCCTCTGCCTCCAATCTTCTACTTCTCATAGCTTTCTCTTGTTTCTAGCTTTGTTTTACACATGGAGCAACACGAATCCTGACTTTCATCTATCTCACAATGTTTCAGCTGCTGTTCGCACAGTTAACTGTCCCAATCTCAGTGTTTTTTGTTTGTTTGTTTAAATGATGAAGCGAGCCAATCAGAATGGACAAGTTTATGTTTTCAAGTCAAGCCCTGTGATGGGACTCAAGACAAGTTACCCCAAAATATGGCAGCTTGTCATTTGAGGAACAAAAGAAGCAGGGAGGTCACTCTCACTTTCTCCTTGTTCTTCTTCCCCTGAATCAGGCCTTAAAACCCAGTCAACCTTTCCCCGAAAGAGGTCATAAAACTATCACTCCAGAGTTGCCTGTCCTATACCTAGAGGAAAGCAACATCCTTATCTCTGAAGACACAGACACAGAGAAGTATCTGAACAGCCTTGATAAGTTTCCCCCAGTTTATTCCTATTAGATCATATCCTATTATCCTTCGATCTTACTTCTCCGCAACCATCTACTCTTCATCAAATGTAAGCATACAAATACACATTTCCATATTTCTTTGGGTCTTCATTTCTGAAGGTGCTGGAGTAACATAAAACATATATTAGATAAATGTGTGTGCTTTTCTCTTGTTAATCTGTCTTTTATGATATGAGCCTCAGCCATGAACCTTGTAATGGATGAGTAAAAGATGCTACTTTTTCTCCCCTACACATATCATGGGCCTAATTGGCCTATGGCTTATTGGTCTTTAAGTTAGGTGACTGCCCCTGTCCAGTTTTCTTTGGCCAGGTACATGTGGTACAACCCTTTCAGCAAAGATGTCTGCAAGGGCTCTGGGCAGGGCAGGTATCATGACTGATATCTACTGTGCTGCTTTTTGATTATCTTAACCAAGTGGCATCTTCCTCTTTGCACTTCTGTTATCAAAAGCATGCGGGTCTGATTTTAGGCATCGACCAGACATAATAGACACACTCTGGGGAGCTCAGTCTTTAATTGTCTGTTAAAGACACAGCCACAGTGTTTTATACTTGACTAAGGTTATCTAACAGAACTTCTAATAATCTAATCTTTTAGATTTTCCGGGCTATATCTCCTCATCAAATTACAGCTCTAGAAAAATCACATACCTGGACTACATTGGTTTATTTCTCTGGAGAACAACCTTCATAAAATGATGATTTAATATTATCCCCTTGAGGTTATATGAAATGTTCATATGAAAAAAATGTTTGCTTCTTTAAAATTGCTTTAAAAGTTGCCTATTATTGTTTAGTGTTCTTTATATAAGGATTCATACAATAATTTTCTCTTAGATTTTAGTACAAAGGAAAAAGGTTTGTTTCTATTTTAATCAGTGAGAGTTATAATGTTCACTAAGTTTCCTGTTTGCCACTGAAAAATATAAAACAAAATTTAAGACTCAGTTATAATAACTCCCCTTAGCCTGGGTTTCTAGTATAATAATCTTCCTCCTCTCAAGTACATACTTATTATATTTTATTCTTATTTTATTTATTTATTTGTGAGTCAGGATCTTGCTGTGTTGTCCAGGCTGGAGTACAGTAGGGCAAACACGGCTTACCACAGCCTCTACTTCGTGGACTCAAGTGATCTTCCTGCCTCAGTCTCCTGAGTAGCTGGGAGTATAGGCTGGCACCACTATGCCTGGCTAATTTTTAATTTTTTGCTGCCCAGGCTGATCTTGAACTCCTGGGCTCTGGTGATCCTCCCTCCTCAGCCTTCCAAAGTGTGGGGATTACAGGCATGAGCCACCAAGCCTGGCTGATATTTTATCCTTATTTTAATGATTGAGAAGTATTTATGTTTATTATCTCAACCACCTCAGGTACTTTTTTGGAGTATCTAGAATACAAATCACAAATATGGTTCAATATATAATATTGTCATTTCATAGGGAAAATGCTAATGATTTTAGAAAAATATTTGGTGTTTTAGGGGGCCTCCAGGCCAGTGACTTTTTATACTCTAGTAAGTGAGATATTAGTTACCACTGTGCTTGTGCTACTGAGAAAATGTCTGCAAGGGCCCTTGGAGCAATCTGTTGATGTATTTATGTTGTAGCAAATTTGAATTCAATAGAGTTTGCACAGAGATTTTTGTTGAAAGGGGAAGGGCTGAGGTTGGTAGCCACTAGTGAAGAATTATTCATTTTGATAAAGAAATCAAAGAAAACTTGATAGTAATTGGCTTTTTATAATTGATGTTTTAGGATGCTAGAGGCTTTTGCTAGTTACTTTAAAGTATTTTTCTTGTTTTGTAATTCTTATGTTAGTTCTGCAGTAGGTCTTTTTTTTTCTCTTTTTCATCTTTATTGAGGTTTCATTGACAAATAAAATGGTATATATTTAAGGTGTACAACAATGTTTTGACATATGTATACATTGTGAAATAATCGCCGCATCAAGCTAATTAATATTCATTACCTCACACAGTTACCATTTCCTTTCTCTTTCTTTCTCGCTTTCTTTTGAAGTGGTGTCTTCATTCTAGGTGCTTTAGGCAGCCAGTTAAACTTGTAGTGAATCAACTGTTTTTCTACACAATATTAATAATGGGTTGACAGGTTATTTTTTCTATCTAAAATAATCACACAGGCTGGTTGTTTTTTTGGCATTGTTTGACATGGCTTCAGCAGTCAATTTTAAATAATCATATGGAAACATTAGCCTTCCAGAAAGGAAGTCTCTTTTCTGGAAGTCGGCAAGCCATGTTGTCTACCAGGGTTACAAACCTGTTTTCCACTAAGTGTCTTTTGAGGTTTGCATTAAAAAATTGAGGTTTAGCTGTAGCACAAATGAAAGTGGTTGTTAGATTGACTTGCATTTTTGTGGAGTGATATTTTCTGG